CTCGATGTCCCTTATCCTCATCACACTTTACCTTCCGGACTACAACTTGTCCCCTCGAGGCTAGGATACTTACTCACGGGGCGACAAATAAAGTCGCCATCATTGAGCGAACAAGTGGGTCGGACTGAGTCGGATGTGAAGATCTCGGTGAACTCCTTCACTAACTTCGACGAGGAACTGGAAAGATGGGACAAGTACTGGACTATGGATTCTGCTGGCGTATGTGAGTTCACTGGAACCAGGAACGCCGAGAAAGATGCGACGAATGAGAAAGTCGCAAAATTTTTTGAGGAAACAATCGAGAAACGCAATGATGGGTACTACATTCGTTTCCCTTACAAGGAAAACCATCCACCTCTACCAACAAACAAAGCGATTGCGCTCAAGCGCTTGAGAACAGTGTTAGAGACTCTACGTAAAACTCCGCAATTACTGCACGATTACGATGAAACCTTTCGCTCCCAACAAGAAAAGGGGATTATCGAAGAGATCGCAGACTCTTCATTGACTGAAGGCGCTGTTGTGCACTATATACCTCATCAACCGGTATTAACACCCAACAAAGAGACAACCAAATTACGTATAGTATTTGATGCATCAGCACACTTCCGAGACAGTCCTTCTCTGAACGATGTACTCCACCAAGGACCCCTCATACTCCCCGAGCTATATGCCATGTTGTTGCGTTTCAGACTCCCAAAATACGTTATCACATCGGACGTGGAAAAGGCCTTTCTTCAGGTGCGCCTTCATGAAGCCGACAGAGACGCAACACGGTTTCTTTGGGTTCGCAAGGTGGATGTACCATTCCATGAAAGAAATATACGGACGTTCCGGTTTACTAGAGTGACGTTCGGATTGAATGTGTCACCATATTTGTTAGGCGCAACCATTCATCATCATCTACGGCACGCTGTTGAAAATATGGATTTAGCAAACGAAATCCGAGAAAATCTCTACGTGGATAACCTCATCCTTTCGGCTGACACGCCAACGGAGGCTATCGAAAAATCCCTGGAATCACGTAGGATCTTTGAAGAAATGGGCATGAATTTGAGAGAATTCCTGTCTAACGAACCAACATTGTGGCAAGGCTTACCGGAAGCAGCACGTGCTAAGTCTACTACACAAAAGGTACTGGGAATCTCTTGGAACACAAACACGGATTGCTTAGAAGCTAAATGTTTCTGACTCAACATGACGTCATCACAAAACGCACCGTGACACGCCAAATAGCCTCCATATATGATCCTCTTGGATGGCTTGTTCCCTTACTCATTCCTGCGAAAAAGTTTCAGCAAGATCTATGGAGGCAAAAATATCAATGGGACACGGAACTGCCTCTGGAAACAACTAATAAATGGATAGAGATTATCGAAAATATGAACGGGTTCCAGAAACTCATCCCGAGACGATACTGCGCCAATCCTGACACATTAAATCTTGCGGTCTTTGCCGACGCAAGTGAGGTGGCTATTGCCGCTTGCGCTTACCTGTTCAACAAAGACAACTCCATGTTGACGATGGCGAAGAGTAAGCTGCAATCAATCAAAACGAGGACAACTATGCCAAAGCTCGAAATGAATGCTCTTACGCTGGCAACGCGCCTCGCCCTTTCCGTCGCGCAAGCGTTGAAATTGGGAACTTTTGGACATTCCACCACCATCTACATTTTCTCCGATTCTCAAATAGCACTGAGTTGGGTCTCGTCAGCACGTCAGACTAATTTGGGAGTACTAGTAGAAAACAGACTGCGCGAAATACGGCGAATCATTCATCAACTGGAAAAGGAAACAATATCTGTCACCTTTGGGTACGTCAATACCTCAGAGAACCCCGCAGATGCTGGAACACGAGGGCTCAACGCGGAACAAATTATTAACCACAACTGGTGGACTGGTCCAACATTTCTGCGCACAGCTGTGCAACAGTGGTCCACTCCTTTCTATAATTTAGCCACGGAAAATACACCTACAGTGCCCACGTTTGCAGAAACCATAATCGACAAGACTGTAACGGTTAACAGGATACAAACAGGAGATGTAAGAACCCTTGAACTTCTTGACTGGAGTCGTTTTGGGTCTCTTACTGCCGCCAAGCGGACCACTGCGCTTACACTTCGCTTCTTGAAGAAGCTTCTACGTAATCAAGATGAGAGTTTGAAGGCAAGAGTTCTCGAACACGTTCCTGAATTGAAAAGTATTCGAGACTCTACAAATCCTCTAGAAGGGAGCGAAATACGAGCAGCGAAGCTAGCTCTAGTTCGCAACCATCAACTTATTTATGTCACTAAAGATTATCGCAAATCAATGGAAAACACGTTGCGACTTTATCAAGATGAAAACGAGATTTGGCGTTCAAAAGGAAGACTGGGCCACTCAGCATTGAGCGACAACGCTAAAAGCCCAATATTTATAGCGCCTAATACTGCAATAGCACAGAAGATCATACAAGAGGCACACGGCCCCTACCACAAAGGAATCGAGCATACAATAGCCACTGTGCGCGAACAATTCTGGATCCCGAAACTACGACAACAAGTAAGGACAGTGACTAAACAGTGTATACAATGTCGCCGATTCAATGCGCTACCATATCATTATCCTGATACACAAGACTTACCCCCTCGTCGAGTTCTTCGATGTCGACCATTTCAACACACGGGGCTGGATTTCTTCGATCTCCCTATGTGCTTCGAAAAAGATGAGAAGTACAAGTTGTACGGGTGCATTTTTACATGCGCTGTGACAAGGTTGATTCACCTTGAAGTCGTGCGCAGCACAGCAACTAAGGAATTCATCAACGCGCTACGAAGGTTTATTGCGCGCAAGGGCCTTCCTGAATCCATTACTTGTGACAATGCGCCGACGTTCCTACTCAGCGCTAATATCTTGGAGAATCAGAACAACCAAATGAATGAAGAAATACTTAGTTCACTAACTAATAAGGAGATTCAATGGAAGCACATCACACCTTATGCTCCTTGGCAAGGAGGATTCTACGAGCGTTTGATAAAAACGATAAAACAGTCAATATATAAAACACTGCGCGGTGGGAAACCACGCTCATTCGATGACATCCAAACATTTGTTGCTGAAGTCGAAGCTTGCCTTAACACGAGGCCCCTAACGTACCAGGCTTCCGAGCAAGAGGTAATGACCTCCATCCGTCCAATCGACTTCCTGCAGAAAGACGTCACACTGACCCTAGCAATGAACAAAAGCAGTGAGGACGACTCTGACTATTTTCCTACAGAAGAATCACGAATGATGCAGTACCGTCATCAAGTAGTGGACGCACTTCTCACCTCCTGTCAAGAAACAGAATTGTTCTGGAAGGTATGGCAAACCAATTATCTAACATCCCTACGGGAAAAGCACAAACGACTTACTTCGAACCGCAGGTTAGGATGCGAAACTCCTATCGAAGGAGATGTAGTTCTAGTCAACGACCCTGTGCTTCCACGTAACGATTGGAAGATGGCGCGAATTACAAAAATAAATCGCGGTGCTGATGGCGAGATTCGCGACGTCGAACTTTTGACAGCGAACAGACGGAAAATACGTCGACCAGTTAATCTCCTCATCCCTTTAGAAATACAGGAGAGTAGAAAAATCGCCCGGTCGCCAACAAGGGGCGAAATCTCCTCCGGAGACAGCGCTAGAACAGCACAAACAGAAGAATCCAGGTACAACTTGCGCCCACGACCCGTGCGCCAAGTACGAACCATCACAGTCCCAAAGAAACAGTCAACTACTCTTTCTCCAAGATGGTTTTTGTTCCACCTCATGTTGGTATCGCTTCTTCGACTTTCTAGCACTGCTGAGGTGCATTTGAACTGCAGGAGAAACAGAGTAAAGCCACACACAAGTCCCTATGAAAAGTTACGAATTCGGAGCAGAGAGCCTTGATATAGTTGATCATTGCTTATCGGAGTCGCATCATGTGAAAACCCCCGTCACCGCTATAGCGAACAACTACAAAATCATTTTTGCACGGCAATCTGGTGAACAAACTAAGGGTCAAAAAACGGGCAGTCATGTCACAATACAAATCCTCCCTTCAACAACATTTGAACTGTGGGATCTACCCCGTCAAAACATACTCAAACTCAAAAACTCAAAAAGATCTCAACCTAGTGCGCTTGCGCCAACTGACTTTACAGGGAGGAACAATCCGATTCAGCATGAATTTCAGATAATGGAAAGCCACTACGATGAACTAAAGCAAGTGAAAAGGATCAACGCAGCTCTACAGCAAGGACTGGAAGAGTACCAACATGCGCTGAGAAAGCAGAAACAAGACATGAAAAAACTGCGCAGCGCTCTCCCTCCATTGCCTCCGCCAAAAGAGCTTTATAACAATATCATTGCGCGTTGCAGACATTTTCACGATTGTACGGAAAAAATGAAATCGCTAGAGACCCGTATTCGAAACTTGCGAACGTCCAAAATCGGCTGGAGTACTCGGTTCCATGAGCTAGAGCTTCTAGAAGTCATATGCGATCAAACGCGGCTCGATTTTCAGTTCACGAGGTACCAATTGCGCACGTTGTTTAGAGCGCCTCCGCTCCTTATTGCCACTGGCGCTATTTCTGAGGTAGCGTGGAATACATGGATGGAACAAGAACAACTAAACGATGACGACAGTCCATTATTAGTGAACATGGAAGTAATCGAGGCTGCTGCCAGCGACCAGCTTCAATTGCTGGACGGACACAGACTAGCACTAAGCGATATTCGAGCAGGCCTACAGGAAGAGGAGAACAGACAAACGGCATCTTTTCCAAGAAACGGTTACACAAGCTCTACAAACCCTGCAGTCTTCGGTCGAAGCGCTCCAGATCACAAATAAGCGCGTTGCCCCACCTGCCGAAAGTCCACATGACCCAAGCGCAGACACTCGTGAAGAAGACGACCTTCCAAAGGATCCACGTGAGGACGAGATCATTCGAGGAAACGAAGAGTTCACTGAAGGGGTTTCGAGCGACCTCGAAGCAGATGGTATCGCTGGATGAGGGAACAGAGGACAGCAAAGCATCCTCGCGCGCGATGATCGAAGAAGAAATACGGGAACTTCACAAGGCCAAATCAGATTATCTCCAGACCATCGACGAACTGCAAGCGCAACCATCCTGCCCTCCGAGAAGATTCGAATTTGGAGAAATACGAAAAGAAAGAGAAACCACGATGCGCTGCGCATTCTGCGACGCCATTGGCGAGCATTATTCCGACTCCTGTTATGAAGTGCAATCAGCAGAGGAAAGGAGACATCTTATTACCGCAATAGGAGATGCATTATGTGCCTAGAATTCTGTCCTGGAGGTAAGGATGTAGGAAATACTACACACGATGTTACCACTGCCGTAATCACGGACATCACTCGGCGCTGTGCTGGCTACCGGAAAAAACTGAAGAAGTTCTCGATGAACTAACTTATCTAAGGAACGAGCTCGAGCGCTGCGAAAATAGATTACAGGTATTGGAAAAGGACCTGCGCCTGCTCAACTGAGTCTTCCGTCGGGGGGAATATCGCTGCTGCGATTCTTTCCCTAAGTTGCGCTACGCTATGTACTGTGTTTATGTTTGCGTTTTGTTGTTTGTTGTTAGTAAATGTTGTGTAATGTTGTGTTTGAACAGGTCCAATTATACAGGAAGACCAACAGAGTAAGAATCTGAAGAAAGAATGGTATCTTATCGGATCTGGCAGCACACTATCTTATATGAGCTTTGACGTATCTTATCTAACTAGGCTTAGGCATGATATAGATTAGAGTAAGGTTCAGTTGCTTCGTCTGTTGCTCTATTAGCAAGTCGTCGGATAAAGCGTGAAGCTCAGTCAGTCTCAACACACTGCGGATCAACTTT